CTGCTTGATTAGGCCAGAAACCCTGGTAGTTCTCCTTGACTCTTCATTATCTCACATTCCATATCTGATACCTCCACAAGTTTGCCTCTGCCTTCAAATGATATCCCAAAGCCAGCCACTCCTAACCTCACCCTCCCACCACAGTCGTGTGGGCTGGTACCGCCTCTCACTTAGACCCGGCCAAGGCCTGCTGACTGATCCATCTCCCCTCTTGCCAACATGCCTTACCCCCTCCTCCACCCCCGTCGGTTCTGTGCCTGGCAACCAGCGTTTCCCTGTAAGATATCAGTCACACCCTCCTCTGGCAACCTTCCAGCAACTTCCCATTATACAGTTGACCCCTGAACAACAGGGGTTTGAACTGCGAGGGTCCACTTATATGAGGATTTTTTCCACTGATACGTACAGGAGTCCTACCATCTCTGGCTGCCTGAATCTGCAGAGGTGGAAATGAGGATATAGGGAGGGCCGACCACAAGTCATATTCGGATTTTTGACTGTGTGGAGGGTCGGTGCCCCTCACCCCCATGTTGTTCAAGGGTCAGCTGTACTTTATACTTCAGAATAAAGCTCAGTCTTCGCCTTGACTTGTAAAACCATCCATAATCTTGCTTAACTGCCTTTTCAGTCTCTTACCACTCTTTCCCTTTATTACCGTAAGCACTGGCCCCTTGTCTTGACAAAACTCTTCCTGCTCTGGTCTTTGCATCTGCTTTTCCCTTTGCCTGAGGTACTCTCTCCATCTTAGGGCATATGCTCCCGTAGCTTGTTTATTAGATTTGTGCTTGGTAACCACCTTTAAAAGGCCTTCCCTGACCACTTTATCTAATATCTAACGGTATTTCCACATCTTATTCTGAATCCTTCTTTCCTTATTGCTTATCTTTATAGCACTTACACTGCTGTCATTTATTTACTGTCAGACTCCCTCTGCGAAAGTAAGCTCTGGAGGCCATGCATTTTGTTTTAGTCACTTCTGTATTCCCAGTGGCTGGACCAGTGCCTGTTAACATAATCCATAGACATAATTCTGTGGGTCCTCAAACACTTTCTTGAATAAATAAGTGAATTAATCAGCGTTAAGGGTAAAGCTGGAAGTAGGCATTTAACTAGATGGTATCTGGTTTATACTTTACAAGGAACTTCTAAACAGTAGGTTTGCCTTTAATATTTTATTTATCTTCTGGAGTGTTTTCCAGATGTCATTTTTAGTGATGCCACTTTCTTAATTTTTTGCTTTGTTTCACTTTTATTGCCTATGGGTTTTATTTTAAATTTTATTTTATTGTTAATATACAGTAGTCACAACAACAAAAGTCTTAATTTTTAGTGTTTTGTTATTGAAAATGTTGGCGTGCCTTTTCTATGAAAAATTCCTTACTTTAGAAGTAATAATCTTTTTATGATTCTAGTACTTACCTCAGTATCTGCTGTGTTCTAGATATTTAGTAAATGGTTGAACGCGTGAGTTTTAGAATTTAATGTCTAGGAAAATACTGACACTTTACAAACATACTTACTGCGCTTAGGCACTGCTGATGACCCCTTAGCCGATATTTCCGAAGTCTTAAACACAGATGATGACATTCTTGGAATAATTTCAGAAGACCTTGCAAAATCAGTTGATCATTCAGGTATATATGAGTACTGTTTGCCCAGTGTCTATTTTATGATGTGAGTGAGAGGTATGTGTGTGAAACGAGCTTAGTCTTTTCTCTGAAACTGAAAAAAAATTTTCTTTCTCTTCCTTCCCCTCCCCTCCCCTCCCCTCCCCTCCCCTTGTCAAAGAACTCATCATTTTATTTGATCTGCCTTGGCTTTCCTGCTTTAAGAGGGGAAATAGCAAGTTAGTTAATTTCTGTTTCCTGTCTAATTGCATCAGATTTAAGGCCTGTTGCCTTAGAGTCCTGCTGTACCTGTTTCTTCTTTTGTTTGCACCGTCCCCCAGCTCCCGTGGTAATCATCCATTTTATTTGGTTTGGGTCTTGTAGGTCTTGATTTATGCACTTTCCAGGTTGAGAGCTCATCTTGTCCATTTGGTAAGAAACTGAGCAATGGATGACGGCTGACTAGAAGTAGTCTTTTTTTTTTTTAAATAGTGATTTCAGCTGAAACAACCTGTAGGTGCATGTGTATTTGTTATAGTGCTAATTTGTCACTAATCCAACTTTGCTTTTCCCTTTGTGCGTGCAGCTAAAGCATGGTACAACTGTACTGTGTTTTGGATGACTTTCTCTGTAGTGTTCTTTTTTTTTTAAATGAATGGTTTTATTCATGTTAGTATGTAATTTATAATATTACCCAAATATTATAGAGTTAGTTCCTATACGAGCAGATAAGTTCCAGATAAGAGCAGATGAAATCTTACCTTTTGATAGCAGTAATATTGAGGAGGAAGCATGATAAAGTAGATAAACCAGTTTGAAATGTGACTATTGCTTAAAAACCAATTTATATGAGATAAAGCATATAATAAACATAATCTGTATATTGTTCTTGACTACAGAATATTTCAGAAATATGATCTGTAGTTGAAATTATTCACAAAAGGATAATTTTTACAAGGCATTAAAAATTTTAGAGCTTGTCATTAATTTGTGTGAAACTTGTTTCACAAACTGCATATGATAAGTTGAACCATACATTTGAAACACTGTCTTCTGAGTTTAAGCAGTTAATTGTATATTAAACATTGTATATTGATTCTTCTTAGAGAGTCCTGTCTTAATAATATGCTGCTTACTTTTTTGTGGAAATTAGCACTTTAGAACCAGATGTGTTCTTTGGTTTCTCAGGGAATGGGTTTGCATTGATTAAACCATAACTTTAAGCAGCACCCAAGTTTATAGATACATTGTGCCTGATTTTTACTGATTGACTCTCCAGATTGATTCAGAATTACGGGCTTCTCATCGCTCTGTGTTCATCATACGGTTGTGCTTTAATGCAGGGAAACAGTGTAGTGCGTTCTGTGTGAGTGTCCAGAGTTCACTTTTTAATACGCATACCTTGCTCCTCAGCTGGAATAGACCTTGGTGCCGGCGTTGATGATCCTTCCTCTTTGCCTCAGCCAAGTGTCAATCAGAGTTCACGACCGTTGAGTGAAGAGCAGCTCGATGGCATCCTCAGCCCTGAACTAGACAAAATGGTCACAGATGGTAAAATATTTGCCCTACATCTAGGCTTTCTAAAAGACATGAGTAAATATGATTTTCAAAGATTTCTGCATGCTTATTTACAATTTAACTTCTCTTCTGATAATTTTATGTCAAATGCTGTTTTGTATCAGTATATTGAAATGATGGTTGTTAATATTTCCACCTCTTTATTTTATCCTAGGAGCAATTCTTGGGAAGTTATATAAAATACCAGGTATTTGTGTTTTGATTTTTAGTTTATAAGAATGGAATTCCCTGTGCTTTGGCTCTGTAGCCCTTTAATCATACTGTCATTGGAACTGTGTCTCCTAGAGCTTGGAGGAAAGGATGTGGAGGACTTGTTTACCGCCGTGCTCAGTCCTGCAGCCACGCAGCCAGCTTCCGTACCACAGCCTCCGGCACCTCCGCTGCTGCCCGCGCACGCTCAGGGTATGTCGCCTCTCGAAAAGTGTCGTAAGTATGGCTCTGCGGTGTGTGTCCCTCAGGAGCCACGCACACAGACTGATGGCAGAAAGCCCTCTTTTGTGCCGATGGAAGAGTACCCAATCTCTGAGTTTCCCTCAGTTACACACCTACCTCCCTGACATCCTCTGGAAATCGGCGATTCTCTTCATGGCCAGAATTCTTCTGCTCACTTGATCTGCGGTGCCACTATTAACAGTGCCTGCCTTCTTCCCGTCCCCCAGTCCTAGTCCCAGCTCACTTTTTCTCAGTCCTTCCTGCAAAGATGTTTGGAGAACTGCTCCCCCCTCACCTGGCTGCCTTAGACTCATCTGTGTGGTCTCAGTGTCACTGTCGTTCCCTCAGTGGTGGCAGATCACCACCTCCGCACTCCCCCGTGCTTTCCATTGGCGGCATGTGGTACAGGCATAAACGACTGTGGGTAATTATGGTTTTCCCTTTAGATTGTGAGCTCCTTGAAGGCTTGGGCCACATCTGTCTTCACCACTGTTTACCTTGCCACAGAGTACGTCCTTAGTACATACTTTCAGAGTACCACTGTCGACTATGAAATTCCTAATTCTGTGGAAATTTGCGTATTTTGTTTAATCCACTTTCTTCTGCCTATTTGTAACTACTTGCAGAACAAGTTTAAGGCTTTCCTTTCTCCCTCTGCCTGGACAGCTAAAGTCTGATAGGCTAGAATTAAAATTTGTGGGAGTAGGTAGGTAAGGTGGTAGTGCTGCCGGTCTGGGAATCTCCTATAGAAGGGAGATGGTGGTGTGTGTATTCTTGATGATTTGAATAATGGGTCAGTTCTCTATATCCTGTTGTCACTGCTTCATGATTATATACTGAATTGAATAATTTGTAATGATACTTTTATAAGCTCATACACCGTTTTTGTGTAAGTGCTGAAATGTACAAATAATTTAATGTTATCTTTACTACCAATTTTGTGTATACATGAAAAATTCTATAATGCACATAATTGAAATGTTTTAGTTTCTTCCAGTTTAGCCTCTAAACATAAATTTACCTTGATTTTTGCTAGACTAAACATGTGATTTACATTTGGATAAAACAGACATCATAAGTGCTTCTTGCCTTAATTGTTCCCATATGCTGTCTTAATGATTAAGAACTCTTCAATATTTCTCTTCTCAACATATAAAAAAAACTATCTCCATGTTTTCTGAAACTAAAAGTATGTATTTCAGAAATCAAATCATTTAAAGATGTATTCCTTTATAAAAGGTTTTATGATCATTGTTTAAATCATTTCACTGTGCAGTCTCATTTTTAATAAGGTTTTGAAGGTTGGGGGCAGTTGATCTATTTTGTTTTACCCAAAATGTGTTTATTGGGATGGTTTCCCGTTCATCTTGATTCCGGCGGCTCTTAGCGCTGCTTCCGTCTGGAGGAGCATCCTTCTGTAAGCCTTGCTTTTCCTCCTGTAGGCTGGCAGAGGGCAGTAGAGCAGCCAACACACAAAACTACTGTCTGTGCATGGCTAAAGACGGTGGTGATTTTATAGCATCCTGGGCATTTCACATCCATGAAATAGGAATTGGGGCTCTGCACCAGGCGCTTCTTCTTGTGTTTCCTCTTCTCTTCTGGAGAGGGATGAAGGAGATCCTTTGCGAGAGGAATGTTCTCGTGGGGAGGTCATCACCGTCGGAAAGGTGGGGTTGATCTTTTTTTCTGCGTAGGAGTCGCTAAGATTTCAGCATTCATGTTTGAAAGAATAATAATTTAAGGATAAAGCATGATCAGGTCACATGCAGGGAGACCACACAGATATTCAAGAATGGCAGCTCTAACATTTTCCAGGGCAAAGGAAGAGAGGTAAGTGGTCAGTGTTTAAGAAGGCAGAACAAAAAGTACGCATGGGACTGAATTGTGTCTACACAGCTAGGCATTGGCAGTTGGCCTTTTTTTCTCCAGGTTTCTGAGAGGCACTGGAGACCTCACACCAGTGAATGACCTGATGAGTTACACATTTTGGCAGAGTAGCTCTGATGTCAGTATTGGAAATGGATTTGACACAAGAAGAGTTGTACTAATGAGTTTATTGCAGTTGGGACTGAGTTAGAATTTGGGCTCCATTTAAATATATCTGCAGTGCTAATTGAAAGGAGGAAATGGATTTGAGAGACAGTGATGTTAGAATAAGTAGGATAGTGCTACCAAATGGATGTAAGATGTAAGAAAAAAGGAAATAAATTGAACTAGACTATATATAAGCCAGGCTTGCCTAGAGGATAACCAGTCATGCTGTAAACTGGAAACATGGAACAAAGAAGCGTGCACGCACGCGTGTGTGCATGTGTGTGTGTTGTAGGGGAACAAAGAAGCACGCGTGTGTGTGTGTGTGTGTGTTGTAGGGGAACAAAGAAGCACGCGTGTGTGTGTGTGTGTGTGTGT